CGACACTAAACTGAACAATGTAACACACCTCATCAACAAGTGCACTTGCTGGATTGCCGATATGTTCATTGAGATGATACGTTTTCGTTAGATCATATTCATTTATTAATGTACCAGAATGATCAACAACAAAAAGTAATAAGCGATTTTGTGAAGCGTCACATGTCAACAGTACGACTGCCCTACAAAATTCATTCAATTGAAACATGTTTGGTGCTTAGAAAGCGATCAATTTGTTCAGTGATATAATACGTAATAGATATAAGCAACATGACAGAATATTTCATTACTCTTAGATGTCATTATCACAAAAAAAGCAAATTTTCACTGATTCATTCAAATGCATCGATAATTTCTACTCAATATAATCTTAATGAATGCTGAATACTTTTCATCCACTCGACAAATAATCACTTCACAAGAAGCATAATTAATACAAACGCATAACCTGTATTCAGCTTGATCTTCTGCTACACATAAATACTGATAGCGCGTTTTGCGTGAGTCCTTCAACGTTTTCCAGCCCTGTAGATCGCATGAAAATGATCACAATGACCAAAACTCTTAAAAATACCAATAATAGCAAATAGTGACCAACTTTTCTTGATCTATTGTACATCCAAATCGCTGATTTGTTGTTATCGCCGGATACAACAAATATTTCACCACGTGGACTTACGGTAATCCATCTTGTTCTACTCAACTCAATTTTCGGTTCCTTTGGACATGGGATAGTCTATAAAATTAATGCATTTCTCCATCGATACTGAGTTGTAAGGTTTTGTGACACAAACTGAACTATGAACTTAATTTCAAACATTTTCATATGAGATTTGACGTTTCGATAGAATGTCACCTATAATTAAATATACTGGAATATTCATATAACTCAAAACAATATAATACAGCTCCAAATTAGAATTAATTTTCATGGTTGTTAGTAATCTATTTAACTTCAAAAATTCCTCACAAAAAATGCCACAGCTAGAAAACTGATATCTTTAGTATTAAACTGAATACCACCAGATGATCAAACGCATCGAGCAATAATATAAAGCAATAATAAACGTAAAAATAAACGTAAATAAGCAATAATATGAAGAAATATCAACACAAGAATGAGTCGTCTCACCTCGATATGATGAAAATCATCTTTTATATCGAATATATGGATTGTCCTTCCTTTTGCATGCATAACACTCACCAGTAAACGTACATTACAAAGATCGATAGCTAACGACGATGCTGAACTGTTTTTTATCGGCAACTGCTTTAAGATTTTACCGGACGTTGTTGTTATATAAACACCTTCAACATGTGCTTATTTCATTCACTAATCACCAACATCTATAATAACTATCAGAATATCTCTACTGCAGAGAATTTGTGATTGTTCAACATTCAAAACTGGAAAGTTTGAATGTTGTTCAAAGGAGACTGACCACCCATCTGTGTAAAAGATGAAACACTTCAATCAACAATCTTACATTTGAGTAATAGCAAATAAAATGAAAGTAACAAAGAAAAGAAACCTCCACAACTATCAGAAACAGCTAATCGTTGTTGTTCATTATTAAAGACTGGTAACGCGATTACATCAATTGGACGAGTTAAATAATTTTCACCGAAATGATGATAGAATTGATCAACATTATGCTCATTAACAATGATTGTCGTTGTTGACGAGGACGATGGGTCACAACTCGAAAAATTGGTTTCTTCGCTCAACGCTCTTGACTGAAAAATAGAATTATTCTTTTAAAGTTGGATTTATTCAGTCATAATGTTCATTCATAATGAATAATATCATAGATAAATAAATCATTTAATCTGACTATAAGAACTAATAGCAGTAATTTTGCATCAAACGCATAGAAAAATTCAAAATAATTGGTGCACTGAACTGAAAAACCAAACAACAATCTGAAGATTGACGAATACAACGGTATGAGAGGATTAGTCCGTATGAGGTGAAATTTCACTCAATTTTCGAAATGAATGAGAATGCATACTAACCTGTTGGCTGTCAAACGATGTGTTAGCATTGGCGCTAGGGCATGGCGGTATCGATGACGCAACTGATGGACAGGTCGAATCTGCGATTGAAAGAGGATTCGATATGCTGCAATTATCATTACTGATATCACTACTGCTACATTGTTATTACTACTGTCAGCATTACGATTTAATATCATTGTTTATTTGCAACTTAGTTTACTCTTCATTTGAAAGCATTTCATCTGAAAGAATTTATACATTTCCTGAACACCATCACACATATAATTGATAGTGTGTGCTGAAATCATTCAGCCCTGAGGAGTTGGAGAGAAAGGAACTGATTGCCTCGATACTTAGGTAGATGAGGGCAGAGCTGAGATTATTACGGAATTAAAAGAGAACAACACCAACTTGAAGCTGTCATCTTTCAAAACAACGCTTGAATCTGATTCACTCGGCAACGAACGTTCACGAAACGATGAGCGACGTAATACCTTGAATTAATGGTTTATACAAATGAAAAATAAACTGATCTCTGCATTTATTGCGATTTCATGAAACATTAACAAAATTACTGAAACATTTGACAATAACACAAGAAATGACTGTTAATAGGAATTGACTGATTCAAGATATTGATTCAACAGAACACTGGAAACGAATGAAAATAAACGTCAACAATGTTAAAACATAAAATAACAGTTGAAAATAAAACCAAAAAAAGAGTGAAATTAACAAACATGAACATTGGCTTCAACAGGTTGTTGAGTCTGAGGTTGTGCGCTATTGAAAGAACTGAGATTAGATGACGGTAAATGTCCATTACTGAGAAATGCTTTACGCAAGAATGATGTTGATGAGTTATATAATGTGGAATAATTATCGACATCGTTTGTTGGTTGAACGATATTGAATTGGGTTTGTTGCTGCTGATGAATTGTTGTTATTGGTGATGGTAATGATGGACTGGAGAGATGTGATGAGGTGGCAATCGACGATGATGATTTATAGAGTGGATAGCTGAAATTATCTATGAGCACGACAAGACATTTGGACACGTCATTGTTTGCTGTATCGATAACAATGATTCTGAATACGCTATCGAGCACAAATTTTCTATAACCTCTTGCATTGTCGATAATGTACTTATTAACTTGCGATAGTGAATTTCATCGTAATTCACAATTCATTTACACGGAGCAATTAATTTGATGGCTGCACAATGATAACAATAACACTAATAATAAAAAACTTTAAAAAATAATAAGAAGAACAATAATGACAAATAATAAAGACAATAATAATAAGATCAGATAGAAACAAATGAAAGGCATAAAAATGCTTTCAAAACTAACCCATTAATGCTTGACATACTATTAAAATGTCGTGTATTTTGTTGCTGTCTGGCAACTGCAGTTTCATCGACTTCGTTCTGCTCCAATAAAGAGTTAGCACATGCATTCAGATTCCATAACGATGGCGGTAACGCACTGAATCGTACATCGCAAGGCTTCTCTTCCTTCAATGTTCATTATCTCATGGTGAACTTAATGTTAGATACGGTTGTTTCGCTTTTCCCACAGAAAACTATGAAATAATTGTGGAATTCACACTGAGATATATACCTCATTGTATCTTTGTTGAAATAAGAATTGTTGATTGTTTGCTCCTCTGTAGGTGGAATGAATGATTATGAAACGTAATTAAAATAAGAGAACATTCAAATGCTTACTATCTCTTTCTCCTTATAAGGAATGCCAGCCATTGCGCATACGTCGTTAATCAATTTTTCTAAGCTGAAAACAAAACGAGATGAATTGAAATGCAATTTTATATGCATACAAAGCACCCGTTTTGAGAACTAATGACTAGAATAAGACGAAAGTGCTATGTGATCATACGAATTCAATTCGATTCGTAGGAATCGCCCTTGCTTTCATCTATAGTGCTACCTTTGAGCATGATTTCTACGTGAAAATATAAACTATCAAAGAGTAAAGTTGTGCGGAGACGAAAAAAAAGTCGGGGACGGGGTTCCCGAAATCCTCCGATCCCCGTACCACACTATGAAAGAGTATACATAGGCAAAGTTCAAAAAAAGGATAACGCTAAACTAAAATTCACCCTTGTGGATCCTTGGTGCACATTGTCCAAACGCGATGAGCTGGTCTAGATGGAGATGGCAAATGATAAACTGTTGGTCTACTAAGCACTGTTGATTGTTGATCCCCAAGCTCACATAAAGCCTTCAATTTGCATACATTTCAGACATAAAAAAATCTTTTTGTTAAACGAATACGTATGTAATCCTGTTTTTGCCACTGTTCTCTCAATTCTATTAACGAACAACAGATTGCGTTTATAGCTAGTTGAATAACGAAGTTTCCTTTCCTTATCGGCATGAGTAAAAGCAAAGTGAAAAAAATTGGTGCTCAGAGTTCTATAAACAAATGCAGAAGAATCAAACAGTTAAGAAGGCACTGAGTTGTTTGAAGATTGCATTATAATCAAATTTATTATTGTAATACATGCATTAGCAAACTGAATAGAGCAACCCTAATGACTTTTATTGGATGGACAGGCAATGCTTTATTCTGAACAGAGTCAAATCAGCGGATGTTGGAGGTGACGATGTTTGATTGAGTTATTAATCATTGAGGCATAAGAAATTAGATGAAATACACGAATGAAGTGATCAAAAATATCGATGAAATGTTTAATGAACGTAAGGCCAGGAAATCACAAATCAAAGAACTGTCTTCATTAAAAAGGTAACCAATTGAACTGATATAAAATATGCAAATATAAATATATCAGAAATAAAATATGAATTTATTGCAGACATGTGTCGATCCCCATCCGAAAAGACGACGAAAATAATTGAGTGGTAATAGACATACCCTTTTGAGTCTTGAAATGAGTAAACGATCTGGTTCATTCAATTCTTCAAGCTTTTTATTCAGCTGATCAATCAGAAAGCATTTCAGCTGAAAAAAATGTGAATCAGCCAATTATATTACATTTTTCAAACACATTCATAACATTACCTCACTCTATATCTGTCTTCATACGATTTATGCACATGTCACGTCAAGTAGCCTCGCAAATTTCAAAAACGCATTGATGGATTCAAATCAGAGGAACGAATAGAGCTAGAGATGCGAGACGTTATTAACTAAAGAAGGCGCATCAGTTGAATCACTGAATAATTGATTCAGTTGAAGAAAAAGATTAATTGATAAATTTGAAAGAAGAAAGCTTATATGATGAAGTGAACTTGCCGAAACGAAAACCGATTCAACCAAGACACCTACTTCAATCTGATTCTCAAAAAAATTGGATGAAATTTCGACGAATAAAACTGAACGAAAGTAATATTTTCGTTGCGAAGAGAACGCAAGAGTCGAATGACTACCGTAGTAGTGAATTCACTAATATGATTTGCATATTCCTTGGCAACATTCGATCGCGTTGAACACCTTCCTTCCAGTGCTTGCATACATGATCTATACAATTCCTGTTGATTCCATTCAGCAGATCTATGTTCGGAATGACCTTTCATCAGATGGCATACACTATAATTATCATTTTTTCATCAATAAATATTTCATTCAAGTGAAAATATAAATACTATCACAACAAATAAACGCTATCATATCACAGTTTATTATTACTACTGCTCTTTTTCTCCAATTTATTACTGGCATTAATCCTTTGTTAGCATCGAAATAGAAGCCATTATTATCACTTTTATCATCTTTATGACTGTTATCGATATCAACGACACCATTAATAATATCAGTATTATTGCTATTACTGTTCACATTATTACCATTATTCTCTTAGAGATCAACATCTGTTAGCAACCGCTTATTTCTGGTTGAATTAGATGAACAAAAAAAGTGGCACGTGAATGTTATAATATAAATCATTATTGACTTAAAATACAACAAATTGCTTTATGATGAGAAATGATTTTAAAAGATCAGGGAAAATAATTTCACTCTGAATCTGTGAACAATTATTGATATAAGAGAGGGACGAATGAATAAACGATAGACAGAAAGTTCAAGTGGTGTTTGTTAGCAAAGAGCGCAAAAATTGGAGAGTATTTCAAGTGGACGACGAATACTTCTTTGCGTTAGTTATGAAGATGAATAAGAATATTTATATAAGCATATACTCATTAATTTATACTATTCTTTTGAATTTATTGCATTGTAAAATATTGTTAAAGTCCATGAACGAGCTTCCGCTCTTTACTCAGCGAAAAGTTTGTGCAGCATTCCAGTCAGTTTCACATCACCACAATCGTCACTGTTTTGAACGTATTCTCAGGTGTATGCGATTCGAAACGAAACAACTGCTACGTGAGTTCGAGAAAAAGTTTTGAAAAATGTCAGATTTAGAGGCTCTTTCTGAGGTTGGATGTTGTTGTTACAATACTGCTAGGTATTTCGAACTGCTATTCACCTATCCAATCATAAAACCCTTTCAAAAACATAGTCAACAACTGGAAAATTAGTACTTTCTAGAGCACATAACCATAGAAAATATTTTCAATTCGAGGCAAACTCATATTCTTTATGAAAATATTCAAACACTATAAATTCTACCTAACATCAGTTCGGAAGAAACAAACTGAAAATTGAACTATGGTGAGGAATTTTTTTTGCACTAGTGATTATGACTGGATGATACGAAGGATGAAATTGTTTGGGTTTTCTTTTAGACGAATATTTTCTTCATCAACAAACTTCTGTCAGATCCACAGCATAAAGACGATTGAAATAAATCATTTTCGAGGCAATGATAATAATAATAATAATAATAACAATAACAAAGACAACAATAAATATGAGACTGACGGTATCAACGAATGATAGAGTTTGTTTAATACATACAATATTGATGATGTTGCTATGCGATGAAAAACAACAAGCTTTCGATTGCCATTCTATGCTACATCTGCAAAACACATCTTTTGCTATCACGTTTATTATAGTTATATGCAGTGCTGACACTATAGCAAATCAAATTTATAAAAAGTTTGTAAAAATATCCTTAAAAATTTAAATACAAACGCAATTTTTCGCTGATGAAAAATTTTATTCGTTTGAATGAAAATGTATTGAACAGACGAACTTATGCACTTATTGATCTAATTCTTCACACAATCCGAGGGACAATTTTTACGCGCTACAAAAAAGAAAAAATTAATTCTGTTCGAAATATTGCTTGAAGAAGTTCGATCAGAAAACTGCTTTAGGTGCACAAACGGACAAAAAATATCGAAACGTTTTTATGAGTTATAGACAAATCACGATGGAATGTACAAAAAAGAGCTGCATTTAAAAAATGAATAAATCTTCAATATTGTTGTAAAAATATTCTCATAGTTAGCGATTAAAAAAACACTGAAACATTCATTATGCAATCGATTCACTGCTTGTTTTCATGCACTTCTTTCGACGTTCACCTCTCAATAAAAAATGGGGGTGAGAGGAGGGAATATCAAATCGAACCATTAGAAAAAAATATCTATTTAAGAAGAAGCTTACACTACGTGGGAAGATGGTGGGGAGGGGGAGGGGAGGACTATTCGAAGCTTTGTATAATGCAGCAATATCCTTGTCTACAATGAAACAATATACAGATAAAAATAGCGTTAATAAAGAGTAAACAAAAAACTGAAAATAACACGTCGGTGTCGCATACTTATTAACACAATGCATTACATAAATATTAATTCTATGTAAACAAATAAAAACTTCTTCATATATTCAATCGTTTCCAGCAAGCAGTTCATCGTTCCTAACAACTTCACCAACTCACATAAAATCTCAAACATCATTCGCATCTCTAAATTTCACTTCACTTTCCTCATCGTTTCATTCGCTTCATTTATGAATGCATATATTCGTTTGCATACGGAATTAGCCGTGGAAGACATTTTTTCACTTTATTATTGTCATTCATCACAATTATTATAATTTTTAAAATTCGTCTTATTAGCAGAACTATTCTTATTTTAATTCTTCTAAATGAACTGCATGCTCTTCCCCAATTTGTCTTCTTTTCATAAACGTTTTTGCTGTACTAAATGTGCACGTTCCAAATTGAATTGATACTATAATTTTAAAGAAAAAAAGATGCAGCGATCTAAATTTCAAAAAAATAAAAATAAAACGAACAAAAAAGTGCAAAGAATTTCGCGGCAACAAGCAAAAAGAGATCAATGCATGAAATTATCCATAAGTTGACTACAAATGTATTGATAAATGCTAAACAAAAATCAATTTTACTTTAAAAAAACCTTTGACGTAAAAAATCTTCGATGAATATCGAATATTTCAAAGCGTATAAACAATAAAAACGACTGTAACACGCGAAAAGGTCGTCACGAATCTCAATGAATATGCGATGAATTCGTAATGATATAAAAGAAGCGAAACATTTATCAGCTGTTAACGATTATTTAAAACTTTTATCCACTCATATTCAAATCAAAATTCGTTCATTGCTCTTCCGTTTGTTTGCTTAAATCAGAGCATTTTTATGAATGAAAAATGAAATTCTCAAGCAGTGAACATATTCACAAAGATAAGCGAACGTTGTCTTCGATTGCATAGTTTTTTATTCATGAGAGATACCACTTTTTGATGAAATCGCCGACAAAAGTGATTTATTTATTCATTTCAGTAATCGATTTCACTCTTTTCATTTTGCTCATTTTTAATCATCATTTTCACTATCAATATTCACATCAATATAATCATCACAACTTTTGTCACGTATAAACCATCTATACTCCCACCATCATCTGAATATCACTTCCCATTCAAAAACTGCAAAGTACTCAATATTCTCTGATAAGCACAGTAACAACACGAACACAAAATGAAACTTTTTGAATGCTGTTTGTGGCTGCAGTTTATTGCATTGATTTATCATTTTGTTTTCTCACTTCATTTGTCAATCAAATTCCAAATTCAATAGAACAGAACAGAAATGAATTAAAATGTGACGATACAATCAAATATAATATCGCATAAACGAGTCAGTCGACTAATTGCCAAATATTGATTGGAATTCGCATTAAAGTTTATTTTTGAAATGGTTTCATGCATGGATGCATTTTTCATAGATAATGTACATTTCGCATTACTTCGATGTATCTAAATCTGTTTTATTAAAATCAATTCGATCCGCTTTGATTCAAGTCAAGCAAGCACCCAATCCTTTCGCATTCCTTTTCCGCACATCTCTCATCATTTATTCATCTTCTAATTCAACAATCAACCAATTCTCGTTTATCTCATCGTCATTCATCCGCTTATAATTCAGCACCTCTCTCTTCTTACCTCACAAGCATTCGTCTATTATAAAGTCATTCGTTGAGCCTTTCAAAAATTATTTTTGATGCTTTAAAATGTGAAATTCAAAACGAACATTTCTAACAATATAAATGATCGATTTCATTCCAGCACCATCAAAAAGAAACTACTTAATCATTCATCAATGAAATCATACACCAATCGATAAGCACTCAATTCTCTTTCTGCTTTTTATTTCATCACTCAATTCATGATTAATTATATATTTCATGCTTCAATATTTCATTTCAATATTGCCGTCTCATTCTACCTACCTAAATTACATACATACATACATCCATAATCTATAATAACGTACCCAATTCCATTTGAACACTTATAAATAAAGAATTATGAATAATGTGTGGTTTTGTTTAAGAGCTCATTTTGAAGTAATTATTCACATGTAAGTTAATGAACGAGTGATGAAATCAACGACAATGAGTGGAATGTGCACAGCTCAGTGTAAGCAGAATTAAAGACGAAATAAGAACTGGAAGCGCACGAAACAGCACTGATAGCAAGTTTAATATATATGGTTCAAAATTACATAATACTTTTTCACAGCGCTTTTAGATGGTGAAGCGATGATTTTGGATTGTTGGTCTCTCATTGCTTACTGATGAGGGCATAACAAATAAAAAAAAGAATAGGAGTGAAAAAGAGCACAGGAAAACTAAAGAAGGATTTGAAGAGTAACACAAACTGCTCTCATGAATGCAAAATGCTTACTAAATAATACAATCATCGATATTCACTTCCAATGCATTCACAAATGCAATTGTAATTGTGATTGTAAACACAGTTGTTATTTGTTTCAGAAGCGATTTAGGGTAAACGGTGTTTTAAAATTCGCACTATCATTGATAATAATTGCATTCACATCACTTAAATGCTAATACCAGTGACACGACAAACAAGTCAAAATGCATATTTACACCGTTCTAAATTTTACCTATATCATAAAATTCACATTTAAAATTAATTAGGAACGGTGCAAAGAAGCACTTCCATAACTGATTTTCAAGGAAAAAAAACAGTACACAACTTATCCATTTTGTACTTTCATTATCGATTGAAGAAAACCTAAAGTAGCTTCCTCTACCAATCCAGTAAAGACTAC